ATGCTGGAGGAGCCAAGTGTCAGCCTCGAGGAGGAAGCCCTGCTAGGCGACGCGGCGGCGGCGGTGAGGGGCGAAAAGGCCGAGGATGACATCGTGGGCATCTCGTGCCGAGATCCTGGGCCGTGCCCATACCCTGGCCCCGTGGCGCAGCACAGTGACATGGCCTCAGAAGTGGTCACGATCGACCGTCTGAGCAAGATGCTGCTGGACCCCGCCTTCGTGACCACCATCAACGAGTCGAGCAGCCCGCTGTTCAACTTCTCCATCCACGACGCCTACCAGATCATCTCGGACAGCCAGGAGGGCTACCTCGACGGCACCACCAAGGTCGTGTTCATCGTGTTCTACGTCATCCTGATCGTGTTCGGCGTGACCGGCAACCTGATGGTGGGCTGGGTCATCTGGCGCAAGCGCGCCATGCGCACGCCCAGGAACCTGTACATCATCAACCTGACGGTGTCCGACCTGAGCATGTGCCTGGTGTGCATGCCCTTCACGCTCGTCGGCCTTATCTATAAGAACTGGAACATGGGCAGCGTCATCTGCAAGCTCGTGCCCGTGCTGCAGGGCACCAACATCATGGTGTCGCCGGCCACCGTGGTCGCCATCGCCGTCGACCGCTACGCCACCATCGTGCAGGTCGGCAGGTCGAGCCGGAGCAGGTTCCACGTGGTGGCGTCCATCGCCGTGATCTGGGCGGCGTCCGTGCTGTTCACGCTGCCGCTCTACTTCTACTACGTGGTGGAGGAGGTGAAGCTGCAGCACATCCTGCTGTTCTCGCGCTGCATCGACATCTGGCCCTCGCGGAGCGTCAAGAACGTGTGGATCATCGCGCTGCTGCTCACGCAGTACGGGATCCCCATCATGGTGCTGAGCGTCGTGCACGCGCGCATCAAGCGCTACCTGGGCCAGCACATGATGGGCCAGTACGACGCCCGCCGCGCGCAGAAGGAGATCGAGCGCAACAACAAGACCACCATCCTGCTGTCCACCATCGCCGTGGCCTTCGCCGTGAGCTGGCTGCCATGGAACATCGTGAACCTCCTGGCGGACTTCCAGTACAAGGGCTTCAGCGACCCGACCTACCTCTACACCGTGTTCGGCGCCTGCCACATGATCGCCATGAGCTCGGCCTGCATCAACCCCGTCCTCTACGGCTGGCTCAACACCAACCTCCGGCGGGAGCTGCTCGAGGTCCTGCCGCCCTTCCTCGTCAAGCTGGGATGGATCCTGCCCAAGTCCTGGCGGAGAAGAGAGGGCGACTCCCCGACGCGCCCCCCGGAGAGCGTCACGCTGCTGGTGTTCCAGGCCAACCAGACCAACAGCATCCAGACGGTGGCGCATCCGCCCCAGACCACCACCATCATCATCAAGGAAGACATGTAGCCAGGTCAGCGCGGCCTCAGTTTCAGTTCCGCATTTCCTGTGTCCTCGTTTTTATCGTTTCTCATGGAGAGGAAGATGAATAATGATATCCCCTCCTCTAAGATAAGCACCGATTATTACAGTTGACTAGGAAGGTATGTCTGACTAACATTTAATGCTCGAATAGTCTTAAACACACACAACTGACAAAGCATTAAAAAAAAAAAAAAAAAAAAAAAAAAAATGCCTGCCATATGTCTAAGAACAGTTTTATAACAAATTCTATCATTACCATCATCATCATCATCAACGTAATCTCTTTTCCTCCCTCCTCATCCTCCACTTCCTACTCCTCCTCCTCCTCCTCATCATCATCATCATCATTATCCTAATTGTCACGATCATCATCATTATCGTTCTCTTTAATCGAGTTATTCTTATCACTATCATCGTCGCTACCTTTCTCTTTTTTCATCATTACCCTCCTCCTTAGTACCATTATTATCATAAATCCACCTTTTACCATTATCGCCAATATCGACGCTTTTATCATCAACCTTAGCATCACCATTTTCAATACAATCAAACCTATAATTATTTTCGTCACCTCTCGCTGAAAGCAGAGTTCATTCATTATGTTTGCGGTTCATTGTCATGGCAACGCTAAGTGACGTCAGGGGGAGGAGAGGCGAATAACACGTATTGAAATACCACTCAAAGTTTAGAATGGCATAATTTGATAAACAATGAATCGGTAAAAAAAAAAAAAAAGTGTTAAAAGGGTAAAAAAGTTGATAGATTGCAAGAGAGAATGCAAGAGAAGTGATTTAGAGACCGATTCTAATCAGAAGGAAAATATGGAGATAAATAGATAGAAAGGTAGATAGACAGACAGACAAACAATCAATCAGACAGATAGACATGCGGACAGACAAACAGACAAACAAACAAACAGACAGACAGACAGACAGACAAGCAATCAGTCAGAGAGCTGGACATGAGGACAGGCAAACAGACAGACAAAAAGATAAACGAACAGATAGACACAGACATAGAAACAGACAGACATATTGGTAGACAGACAGGCATGTTGATAAACACACACACACAGACACACATACAGACAGACAGATAC